GGGCCTGGAAGATGTGGGAGGAAGTTGGGTCTCAAGGAGTCAGGGACACTGCCAGCTAGTGGTTCAGACTTGGGGGTAAGATCCTCCCAATCTTGGGGAGGCAGGACTCTCTGTGAATTCTGGAAGCAGGTTCCTAAGGAGGGCTGTGCTGAGCCTAGGATGGCCTCTGACTCCTTCCCTCTTGACAGCAGAGGCCCAGGCCCAGGGCTCGGCCTTGGCCTCTCAGGCTCTCGGCTCCCACGCTGCTCTTCCTCCTCCTGTGGCCCTTCGTCGTCCAGTGGCTGTTCCGGCAATTTCGGATCCAGAAGAGGTGACTTCAGCAAGGGGCCTCTAGTCAACCCAGGGGGCTTTGAACTCCTGTCCTGCTGTGCCCTGAGTCTCCCACGTTTTAGGAGAAAAGCATTAGCAATCCCCTCCCATCCGCGTTTGCCTTGGCACCCCCTTACCCAATAGGGGCCCGATAAGACCCCACCCTTCCAAGCAGGTCACACAGACTCTCCTTCCACCCACCTCACGCTGTCCTGGAAGGCTGCAGACTAGGTGCTCATCCCCACATTTTCGGGTGGCTGTGAGCAAGGCGGGGCTGCCAGGTCTCAGCCCCTCCGGCCCCACCCTCTGGGTCACTTGACTCCAGGCTTCTCCCAGAGGCGGCTCAGCTCTTGGGCAAGTTGGGACTTGGGCCAGGCCCTGGAAGACGGATTGGCTGGGAGGTGGAGGAGTGCGCAGGCCCGGGGAGGGCGGGGAGCGCCGATCTTGCTTGCTTCCCTGTCCAGCCGCCCCGACACACCGCTCAGGACGTCTTCACAGAAGATTCTTTTACGAATGAATGTTTCACTAAATAAAATAAAACCTCAATCTTCTGCCGTCTGGGCCCCCACGAAGGGAGCGGGAAGGGGCTCGGTGCGCGAGGCACAGGACCCCGGCAGGCTCCTCCCCCAGTGCCCCGTGGACGGCCCCAGAGGCCGGCGGCTAGTTTCTGAATGAGGACTGTTTTCCCTCCTCCCCGGGCAAACCGAGGGAAAACAGGCCCCCGGCGGGCGGCCGCGCCCTGGCTCCCAGCGCCCTGCCTTCCCGCCCCGTCTGGGCACACGGGGCTGGTAGGGCCGGTCCCGGCAGAGCAAGGGGGCGGGGTGTGACAAGGAGGGCCCGAGTTTGGGGCCCTGTCCGAAGGGGAGAGCGGCGGCTTCTCGCTATGCCCGTGGCCCTCTCCTCAGCATACCTCCCATCTTCCAAGAGAACTTTCTGGAAGGCCAATGTCCAGCGGGAGCCCCGCCCCTGTTCTCCGCTGAATGCGGGGACAAGACCTATTAAGGTAGGCCTAGCTCCTGCTTAGGCCTTAGGGACCGCTTGGCTTCTGAACTTTTGTAACTTTTTTTTGCTAAGCCTCCCTCTGGTCCGTGCCTGCCCGGTCTTCCCTCCTGGGCCTCCCTGGCTCCAGCTACCAGCCCGTATTTGATCTCGACCTGGCCACTCCAAGTGCCTCCTGGTACCTGGGCAGGGTTCAGAGTCATGGAGGACTGTAGCAGCACTGACCTCCAGCAGCTGCCACCACTTGGGTCCCAGGACCTTTCTGTCCTTGAGTAAGAAGCAGTCTTGAAGGCCCTTGGCTAGAGTCCCTTAGACTTCTGAGCTCCCTCAGCCCCTCTCCACTGCCCCAAGCTTGGCCATCATTTGCCCCACTGGAAGCCACAGTCACTCTTTGGCCTTCATTGATAAAGATGAACAGCAGCAGGGCAGCTGGAGAAAGACTAAACTGGTGATGGGTTGCAGGGAGGATGCAGTCCTCCCCTTGCATGCTGGCTCTGTGAACCTGGGCAAGCTTCTTAACTGCTCTGAGCCTGGGTTTCCTTGTTTGTGAAACATGAATGATCCCTTCATCAAAAGGCAAGCCTGAGTTTAACAGTGGGGTTTAACAATGATTGACCAGATAAAATGTCTGACAAAGGAATGGAATTCAGTCAATATTGAGGTGCCTGGCCCCTTGTTTCATAGCAGAATTTCACACTGTATGAGTCTGATCACCTCTCCCCCAGTAAGACAAATGAGACCTTATAGCTGAACCATCTAGTAAACAGGCTGGGTTCAGCCTCAATTCCTCTGAAGCCTAAAAATATAGTAAAAGTTTGAAGGGCTTTTGACTCTCCTAGTGAAATTCTCTACCAAGACCCTTCCTTCTGGATTCTTGGTCTATAAGAGCCTCCTAAGGGATAGATAAATTCAGGCCGGGCACGGTGGGGCAAGCCCGTAATCCCAGCAGCTTGGAAGGCTGAGACAGGAGAATTATGAGTTCAAAGCCAGCCTCAGTAGAAGCAAGGCGCTAAGCAACTCAGTGAGACCCTCTCTAAATAAAATACAAAATAGGGCTGGGATGTGGTTCAGTGGTCAAGTGCCCCTGAGTTCAATCCCTGGTACAAAAAAAAAGAAAGAAAGAAATTCAGAGGAGGGAAGGCTTTTCAGATAGACTTGATTTACTTGAAGCCCACACAAAGCTGGGGTGGTAATTTCCAAAACACCTGGATAAGTCCCAGAGTCACTTCTGCTTCTTTTTCTTTGGAGGCAGTCTGCACTGAACATGCCTATTACTACCGCCCTACCAACCACTTCATGCTCCTAGACAATACTCTGCTTCCCATAGGAGGCCTACTTCTCATAATCCGTCTTCGCCCCAGGGGCCAATGCAAAATGGAGATCCGCGACCGAGCCTCTGGCCAGGGGTGGGGGCGCAGGCCCATAGTTCCAACTACTCAGGAGGTTGAAGGGAGAATGGCTTAAGCCCAGAAGTTCCAGACCAGTCTTGGAAACAGCGAGATCCCCTCTCAAAAAATAATAATAAAAAGTAAAATCGTTCGGGCTGGGGATATGGCTCAAGTAGTAACGCGCTTGCCTGGCATACCTGAGGCACTGGGTTTGATCCTCAGCAGCACATAAAAATAAAATAATGATATTGTGTCCACCTAAAAGCTAAAAAAATAAATACTGGGAGGAAAAAAAAGTAAAATGTCTCTTCCTGCCACTTTGCACGAAAATTCTTCATCTTAAGAGCCAACTCACAAACAGCTTGGCTCACAAGCCTTTATGGGGATTTTTCTTTACTTGCCATTTTGGTTCACTGTGGTTTGGTGGCAGTCCATGAACAACCTGAAGCAAGTATGACATTTTATTAATCTTTGTGCCCTCTTAACTACCAAATGATGAAATAAGGGTTTGCATTAGGTGAAGGCTATTGGAAATAAAAGGAACTCCAAACTAGAGTTCTTGAGGAACAAAAGGTGTGTGTGGGGAGGGAGTTCTGTTTCTGACAGAAAGAAAAATGGCATGGGGGTCACTTTAGCCAGAACTGCCACTTAGCTGTCATGTGATCTTGGACAAGTCACTTAATTTCCACAATTTTTAAAAGATTTCTTTAAAATGGAAACAATAATTCCTACCCTGCCTACCTCACTGGGCTATGATGAGGTCAAACGGTTCTGTGCCTAAAAGAACCTCATCCAATCTACACCATTTGGAATGTAAGGAATTGCTATTATGGAATAAGAATGGGTCACTGGGTGGGTGGCCTGGGGGAAAGTGGCGATTATGCCAAAGTGATTAACGTGGACGGCTCTCCCGGATCTTTGGGCAGAGTTTTGCGTCTGGAGAATGCCTCTCACTGGGGAATCCCCCCACCCGACCCCCGCGGACACGAATCTACCCCCACAGTCCTGGATCCTCATTTCAGGGCAAGGCCCTTCCTCCTCATTAGGGAAGCCTCTGGCCCTGCTTCCCTACCTCCCTCCCTCATTCTCGTTCAGCACCCACTGAGAAGGGAGGACCTCTGTGGATGACACCCCCCTTCTCTTCTAGAAACCCAAGACTGTTTATTTAAACTCATTCATTTCGAACCCCTTCTCAAGAATGATGCTCATTAGATGACCCAGCTTCCCCTGACCTAGCTGAGGAAATGTTTTAGGTCTCGGAAGTGAAGAGATCAAATCAGCCCCAGGAGGCCATTTTCTTCGACAGAAGCCGAGATCAGAGGGCGAGTCCTTCACCCCCACCCAGCGCTTTAGATCCGGCCACGGGAGAGGCTCGGTCGCCGATCTCCATTTTGCATTGGCCCCTGGGGCGAAGACGGATCTCAGAGACCAGGCAGGGGTTGGAACTCGGCCACCTTCACCCAAGGGTTCCCGAGGTAGTCAGGGATCGACGTCACCCGGGACTCGAACCCTCTCTCTTCTCTCCCGAGGCCTCGTCTGAGGCTGCTGCACGAAAGGGCGGTCATACTGTCTCTTTAAGGCGGCACTTTTTTATTCTTCATTTGTTTACTTCTTCATGCGCTTTTACGTTTTTTTTTTTACAAAAACATGTTGACTATATCCTTCCGCAAATGTCCGGCCCAGGCACCAACAACCCACCTTTAAGCCATTGCTGTAGTCTTATGAATCCAGAGTTTGTAGTTGTGGCCAGCATCTTTCTTTATAGGATTTCTCCTCTTTTACACATTAGGGACTACTTTTTAGGAATAAACCATTTTTTACTTTAATTAACAAATGTTTATCATTGACGGAACCCTTCCGCTGATAACAGAATACGATAATAGTCTTTAAAACGCACCTTTTCATAAAAATATTCTGTGTGGGCTCCCAAAGATCATGGAATCTTCTTGTATTCCTTAAGCAGAATGGTATGGTCCAGAACCCGCCCCATGTCCTCTGCGATTGGCCTTCCTTCCTTGGTGAGACAAGCGACTCTTGACCAATGGTCACTCGGGTTTCTCTAGCAAGGGCTAAGCGATGGAAGGAGGCGGCCTGGGAGACGCCTCCTGCGTGATCTCGGATTGGCTACGTCGCACGGCGCGCGAGGATGGCGGGCCTGAAAGATGGAAACTACGACTCCCGGCATCCAGTGATGGGTACTCCGTTACGCATGCGCATGGGGGGGACGAACAGACTTCTATATAAAAGGGGCGCAGAGGGCTGGGAGGCAGCAGTTGGAAGTTGGCAGGTGGAAAGGCAGGTTGGGAGGGGAAGTCGGGGAAGGAGGCGGAAGAGGAGCTGTCTGAAAGGGGAGGAGGGAGGGAGGAAAAGAGGAGGAGGCGGAGGAGAATTGAGCTGAGCAGAGCATCGAGCCAAAGGGGAGATGAGTTTGTCTGTCCTCGGCTAAGGCTCCGGCCGGGCCTAGGGAACTGGGAGCTTGGGCTGGAGCGACACCCGTGGAAGTGGGAGGAGGTGGCTCTGGGACTTTAACCCCTTGTGGGCTCTGCGGCAGGGGATTTAACCCTTTGTGGATTCGGTCCCTCGGAGAAAGCGTCATCGGGTAGTTTTAACCCCTTCGGGGCTGAACTTAACCCGTTGGACTTAATCTCATCTTCTTGCCCAACTCCTCGATCGTGGGGGCATTCGGCGGGGAGGTTTGAAGCCCACCCAGTCCGCACGTTACGTACTGTTCCTGCCGCTGCACCCCTCGGACCCGCTAGCTGGCCGCGCTGTGGGCGCTTAACCCTTTACTGACTTGAGCTCCCAAGTTGGGATTGGAGTTTGCTGACAGAAGGACTGGCTAAAGGCGTCACTGCAGAAATTACAGACCGAAGAGAACTATTGGACATATTTTAAAAGAAAAGATAAACCTCTTTTTCCCCTTAAGGACTTACAGACAAAATTCCTCAAACTTCGCGGACTCTTCTAGTCATGGCCGAACCACTCTTGTCAGAATATCAACACCAGCCTCAAACTAGCAACTGTACAGGTGCTGCTGTTGTCCATGAAGAACGGAACCCCGAGAGCCCCCCAGGCGCGGAGGAGCGGGTGCCCTCGGAGGACGGTAGGTGGCAATCGAGAGCGTCCCCCCAGTCGGGTGGCCGGCCGGGGCCAGAGGGGGAAGGGAGTCTGGAGCCCCATCCTCCTCCCCTGCAGACCCAGGCCTGTCCAGAATCAAGCTTCCTGGAAGTGGGCGAGAAGGGCCAAAATGGGGACGACATGTCCGCTGGCGGAGTATCCTCACCGCCAGGAGGAGAACCGATGTCCGAGGCGCTTGCCCAGCCGTGTCATGACAACGAGGCCAACAAGTTGGGGGCTTCTGCCGTTGGGGGAGAGGAGGCGTGGGGACAACAGCAGAGACAGCTAGGCAAGAAGAAACACAGGAGACGCCCCTCCAAGAAAAAGCGGCATTGGAAACCGTACTACAAGCTGACCTGGGAAGAGAAGAAAAAGTTCGATGAGAAGCAGAGCCTGCGAGCTTCCAGGATTCGAGCTGAGATGTTCGCCAAGGGCCAGCCGGTCGCGCCCTATAATACCACGCAGTTCCTTATGGATGACCACGACCAGGAGGAGCCAGATCTCAAAACCGGGCTCTACCCCAAACGAACGGCCGCCAAATCCGACGACACTAGCGATGAGGACTTTATGGAAGAAGCCGGTGAAGAGGACGGGGGTAGCGACGGGATGGGAGGGGACGGCAGCGAGTTTCTGCAGCGGGACTTCTCGGAGACGTACGAGCGGTACCATGCGGAGAGCCTGCAGAATATGAGTAAGCAGGAGCTCATCAAAGAGTACCTGGAGCTGGAGAAGTGCCTCTCGCGCATGGAGGACGAGAACAACCGGCTGCGGCTGGAAAGCAAGCGGCTGGGTGACGACGCTCGTGTGCGGGAGCTGGAGCTGGAGCTGGACCGACTGCGCGCCGAGAACCTCCAGCTGCTGACCGAGAACGAACTGCACCGGCAGCAGGAGCGTGCGCCACTTTCGAAGTTTGGAGACTAGACTGAAACTTGCGGGGAGGGGGCAAAGGGGACTTTTTACAGAGCTGGAATGTAACATTATATACATGTGTATATAAGACAGCGGACCTTTTTATGACACATAATCAGAAGAGAAAATCCCCCCGGCTTTGGTTGGTTTGGTAAATTTAGCTATGATGTAGCTTGCGTGCTTTCTCCTGTTCTTTAATTATGTGAAACTGAAGAGTTGCTTTTCTTGTTTTCCTTTTTAGAAGGAGTTTTTTTTTTAATGTGTAAGTAATTTGACCAAGTTATAATGCATTTTTCTGTTTAAAAAAATCCCCTCCTTAAGCGGAGCTACAAGGTGGCCAAATCTGAGAACCATTAAATTCATTCTAGTTATAATAAATTTAATATTTGTAAATGTAACATAGTTTCAGTGTGATTTCTAGACCTAACTCTTGATTTATGACTACATTTTTGAGGAGAGATGATGAAATAGTCATTGTCAGTTTGAAAAAAAAAATGGGAGAATTTTTTTTTTTTTTTTACTTGTGACCCCCCCCAACAATGAATAGGTTTTAGTATGCTTCAATATACAGTTCAGCTAAAATATAAATATTTGATTATCTTAAATACTTAAAGTGTGCTTGCTTTCTAGTGCCTTGGTTTTCTTTCATGATGTTAGAGAAATGTGTTTTGGAGAGTGCACAGAAGCTACAGTCAGAAGCTTAATTTTATTTCTGCTTCTTGATGGCCATTCAAGTCTACTAACACAATTTGGCAGTTTGTTAGGACAGACAACTAACAGCCTTCATTCCTACAAGTTGGTTTCTAGTAATTCTTCCCTCCCTACCTGCCTCCCCACCCCCACAGGGCTAGAAGTTCCTGGATGCTTGGATGAGGCTCTTAGTAAACCTTGCTTTAAGCAGTGATTAGATTAGGTAAATTTATGGGACAGCTATTTCTTTCAGTACTGGGGATTGAACCCCATGGCACTTTACAGCTGAGCTACATTCCCAACCCTTTTGATTCTCTGAGACAGGGTCTCTGTAATATGCTGAGGCTGGCCTCACATTTCCAATCCTCCTGCCCTTAGCCACTTTAGTAGCTGGAATTATAGGCCTGTAACAAGGTGCTTGGCAGTGGCAGGTGGCTCTTTATGCTGAGATGTTTGAAGGTAGGGAATATTAAATTTACCAAGGACTTACCCTAATTGTCCAATACCTAAGTGCTTACACCAAGAAAAAAAAAAAAGTTGTCCACCCTTCCATGAGGGTTGAACTAAGTTAGAAATGCACATCACTGTAAATCCAATGAAAAGCAGTGAAGTGGTGCATGGTTGTAATCCCAGCTACCTGGGGAGGCTGAGGTAGGAGGATCACCACAAGCTTGAGGCCAGCCTTGGCAGCCTAGCAAGACATTGTCTCCAAAAAATAAAAAGGCCTGGGGATTGAACTCAGTGGTAAAGTACCCCTGGGTTCAATCCCCAATATAAAAAGAAAAATTTCTAGTTAGATGAGGTTCTTGGATGCTGAAGGAGGGACCCTGCATGTTTCTTATACAGCAACTATTCTGTTCTGTCTCCTTAACTGTGCTTACAGCTGCTTTTGTTCTTGAGTAGCTCTGCTCTTAAGAAATGCAGGGTGGCCCTGAGAACTAATTCTTGTCCCAAAAATAGTAAAAAATTAAATGACTATTCCTTCCTGTCACCATGGTTTACCCAGCCCTCATTCACTTGTCCTGTTTCCCTAAGGAAACTATTGTTTAAATCATTAGCACAGGGGTTCCTTAACTTGGGGCCTTATAAACCACAGGGGGCCTTTGGGTCCCTGAACCCACAAAATTATATGTAGTCTTGTGTCATATGCACATTTTTTTCTGGGGATGGAGTTAAGAGTTATGAGATGTCAAACTCCTTGAAGGTTAAGAACCTCTGTAGGAAAAGGAGAAGAAACCCCTCCCTTTGGGAAGCCAGCATTTGAAGCTAAATAGCAATAGTGGAGGTGGTGGGAACTTCAAGAGTGCACCTTCTGATGTATAAGTAGTATATACAAATCAATAAAAAATCAAGGGGAATTATGCCAGTAGGATAAAATGAGGGCCTTCAAAACTGGACTGCGCTCATCCTGTTCTGGTAGGCGGTTCACTGGAGACAATGTATTATCCGTGTTTTTCCTTGGCCTAAAGATTACATTAAATGTCTATTTTGAAATAGTTTTCTTCGTGTTTTTAATTTTTCGTCTACTATGACATCATGCAGCAGCACAAGAAAAAATGTTTGGTGGAAAGGTGGCAGCAACAGTGCCCTCTGGCTTTACTGTGCAGAGCCATGCCTCATTTTGACTGCACTACAGGATGCAGCAGTGATAATCTCTGATTTTAGATCCTCTTCTTATGGAGGATTTAATAGAAAGAACCTATTTCCCCTACCATTAGAAACATGAAATTTCCAAAATCAATCTTGGAAAGACTACAAATGTGTTTATTATCAGGAAAAAAAAAGTGTTCTACTTTTAGGAGACAAGTCCAGTCAAAAAATATACAAATATTTAGTTCTAAGTAACTCTCAAATTTGATTTGAGTTATGCAACTTTGTCAGAATCTTGCTTTCAAAGGCACTTGCATTTCACTATACTTATTGCATTTATGTTCTTAGAATGAAGTTTATGCAAAACATGTTTTCTATTAACACTTTCTACATTCAGAACTTGGCTAATCTACTGCTCTCCCAACAAAGAGGCCAAGTTGCCTATAGTAACCGGCTTGTGATGACAAATGATCCCCTAGCCAACTATGAGCCTTTCACTAAAGTCCTTTGCAAAACATTTTAACTGAGCCGTTCAAAAGAATGGGCTTACAAATTAAGACATTTCAGTTTCTTGCCTTTCTCATATTGGGACCTGGGTAACCAACCAGGGAAAATGGCTTCCCAAACTGACAAACTAGTTGGACAGAACTTTATCCTCCCTTGAGTAAGGACAGCTTTTCCTGGGCTAGCCTATAACAGAGGTCATTAGGAGACAAGGTCCTTCAGATTTCAATTTTGAGGGAGAGGACTAAAGAGTTCCATATTGGTTTAGTTCTGAAAAAAGGACTAGGTCAGCCTGGCATGGTGATGCAAGCCTGTAATGGGAGACATAGGAGGCTGACACAGGATCACAGTTTTAAGGCCAGTCTCTGCAACTTAGTGAGACCCTTAGCAATTTAGGAAGACTGTCTCACAAAGGGCTGGAGATGTGGCTCAGTGGTAGAGCACCCTTGGGTTCAATCCCCAGTGCTGGGGGAAAAAACAAGGGAGTATATCTAAAAATAGGAAGCAAAAGACTAGGTATAACTAGGAATTAGACAACCAGGGTCCTAGTCATATCTTTGATATGAACTAACAGTGAAAGCCTAGACACATCTCAAATTCTAAGCCTCCTTATTATCAACAAAACAAAAGTAAGCATTGCTATGCCTACTTCATATACTTGTAAGGATTTAAAGAGCACAAAAGATACAGTCAGGGGGCTGGGGTACAGCGCTCGCCTAGCACATGCGAAGCCCTGTGTTCGATCCTCAGCACCACATAAAAATAAATAAATACAATAAAGTATTGTGTCCATCTACAACTAAAACATATATATTAAAAAAAAAAAAAAAGATAGTCAGACACAGTGGTGCAGGAGTGTAATCCCAGTGATTCAGGAGGTTGAAGCAGGAGGATCAAAAGTTCAAAGCCAGCCTCAGCAATTTATTGAGACCCTGCCTGAAAATACAAAATGGGCTAAGAATGTGGCTTAGTGGTTGAATACACCTGGGTTCAATCCCCAGTACTAAAAAACAAAAACAAAATTAAGATACAGCCGGATGTGCTGGCACATGCCTGTAATCCTAGCATTTTGAGGCTGAGGCAGAAGGAGGATTCTGAGTTCAAAGCCAGACTCAGCAAAAAGCTAGGCACTAAGCAATTCAGTGAGACTCTGTCTCTAAATAAAATACAAAACAGGGCTGGGGATAAGGCTCAGTGGTTGAGTGCCCCAGAGTTCAATCCCCTATACTCCCACTCCAAAAAAAAAACACCAAAACAAAACAAAAAAACAGGTATACAGGGCTGGGTATATGGGACAATGATAGAGTACATGCATGATGCCCTCACCGAGGTGTGGGGAGGGGAGGTACTACTGGCATGATTATTGATTCTGTTTAATCATTCTGCTTAAACTGCCTGAGCAGATGCCCAACAATTTGATTAGTGTTTCAACTTTTAGGGGGGGAATACTTGAGCTTGAACCCAGGGGTGCTTAGCCACTGGGTTATACCCCAGTCCTTTTTATTTTTGAGACAATGTCTGACTAAGTTGCTTAGGATCTCACTAAACTGCTGAGGTTGGCTTCAAACTTGTGATCCTCCTGTCTCAGTCTCCCAAATTGCTGCAATTACAAGCAAGTGCTACTGTGCAGGCCAGTGTTTCAATGTTTGCTTCACCAAGAATAAAATAAAAATCCTCTTCTTGGGAAATGTAAAATAAATACACTTTATCCTAATGATTTTAAAAGTTAGAACTCAGTAAAAAAGTTAGATCAAAGAGGGACTCCATAGAATTAAAAACAAAATCCAAAACTGAATAGTCTACCTTCAGAAACTCAAAGGCTGACTGTCTTTAATCAAACATTAGATAGTGTCGTGAGTGTTCCCTGGCCATTTATACTCCTAATAGTTGGTGAAAATATTCACAACAGTGTGGTGAAAAGTAGGCTATAATTAAGACATTATTTGCATCTATCTACCTTAAATACACTTGAGTTCACGGGGCTTTATTATTTTTCTGCAGGGGAGTAACTTTTTCACATTTACACAGGCAAGATCATGGGAATATAAACTTCACTGACTTTTTCATACAAAGCATAAATGGTTGGTGTTATAAATAAAATTTTTATTTTAATTTGTATTTTTTAAATTTTTGTTCTACCACTGAGCTAAATCCCCAGTCAGAAAAGCAATTTTAAAACAAGAAAAATGTCAAAATTTGGATCCTGAACATCATCAGAGTTGCTGACTGAAGGGTAATAACAGTCATTCTTTGCAATTGGAACAAAATATATAATCTAGCAGACAAAGATTGAATCTTTGGCCAACTTTTGCCAATTGTCTTTGAATACTGGAAACCTTACCCTTATGGTTCTTGAAAAAACAAAAGGTTGGGCTTAGGCAGATCAATAACTCAGCTGTTACCATCTTCTCAAGTAAATTTTTTCTTGGTTTTACTTAGAGGAGTTCAATTATGACAAATGATAAAATAACACGGGTAACAGGAGGAATAATCCTAGTGGTTCATTAATAAACCATTGCATTCCAACAAAATTCAAATGGTTGAGCTACTACAGTAAATCGTCAACTCATTTGAAACACCTAGTGTGATTGATTGTTCCCTCAAAATAACATCAAGAGCAACTACACTGGGCCTAATTTTTTTTCAAGTAGAGCAAGAATTCAGAAGAAATTATAAACTCTTATCTAAAGCTGTATTCTTTTAATCACAACCACTGACTTTGTGTGAAGTGTTAAAAGTCCTGGATCAGCTGGACGAAGTGGCAAAATTCTGTAATCCCAGCAGCTGGGGAGGCTGAAGCAGGAGGATAGCAAGTTCAAAGCCAGCCTCAGCAACAGCAAGGCACTAAGCAACTCTGTGAGACCTGTCTCCAAATAAAATACAAAATAGGGCTGGGGGTGTGGCTCAGTGGTTGAGTGCCCCTGAGTTCAATTCCCAGTACCAAAAAAAAAAAAGTCCTGGATCTCCCCTGGGCACAGTGGCACCTGACTGTAATCCCAGCACCTCAGGAAGCTGAAGCAGGACTGCAAGTTCAAGGCCAGTCTCAGCAATTTAGTGAGGCTCTAACCAATTTAGGGAGACCCTGTCTCAAAACAAACAAACAAACAAAATTTAAAAAGGGCCAGGGATGTAGTTCAGTGGTAAAATGCCCCTGGGTTCAATCCCTAGCCCTAGCAGCACCAGCACCACTCCCATCATCCCCGCCCCCCAACTAAATCCCAGTCTCTAGCAAACAAAGGTACATTCCAAAAGAAAACTGTGAAAACAAATCTTGAGTGCTCTATACACAAGAATTTGGGAAAACTACAGCAAAATCTCTCAGTTAAGGCTAGAGCTTGTCCTTGCCTTCAAAGAGTGAGAGGAAGACATTAATTTGGAATTCTGAAACTTGATATTTAAAAAAAATTTTTTTTTAGGACACTGGGGTTTGAATCCAGACCTCTGATCTATTATTAAGCTATATCCCCAGGTCTTTAACACAAGATCTTGCCAAGTTGCTGAGGCTAGCCTCAAGCTTGCAATCCTCCTGCCTCAGCCTCTCAAGTAGCTGGGATTTCAGGTGTGCACCACTGTGCCCAGCTAAACACATAATTCTAAATACCTGAATAACCTCAGCACAACTTTCCAGTAAAGCAAAACATCAAAATTAGGTAGGGAAGGAGTATCTAATAGCTCAGTTTCATCTTCCTCTCTAGTTGTTACTCTACACTGCACATTTTAAGCTCTTTTTAGTTGTGGATGGACACAATACCTTTTTTTTTTTTTTTAATGTGGTGCTGAGGATTGAACCCAGTGCCTCACACATGCTAGGCAAGTGCTTTACAACTGAGCCCCAGCCCCAGCCCCCAGCTGCCTTTTTTGTTTTGTTTTGGCAGCACTGGGGACTGAACCCAGGGCCTCAAGCATGCCAGGAAACAACTCTATCACTGACATGTATCCTGAACTTTTTTTTTTTTTTTTTTTTGGTGGTACCAGGGATTAAACCCAGGGGTGCTTAACTAGTGAGCCATATCCCTAGTCCTTTTTTGTATTTTATTTAGATAGGGTCTCACTGAATTGTTTAAGGCCTCATTAAATTGCTGAGGCTGCCTTAAACTCCTGATCCTCCTGCCTCAGCCTCCAGAGCCGCTGGGATTACAGGCATGTGTCACTGCACCCGGCTTGCATCCTAAAAACTTTTTGAGAAGTTGGGAGGTAGCACTGACATAATTTTCAAATTAGGAAACTGAGGCATACAGGCTTGTAGAAACTCATTTGTAAGGGGAGAGCTGAGGAGGAAGTTGAAGGTCTGGTTGGACATTGGATGAATAGGCTCAACAAATGACTGGCCTCATCATCAGGATTTGGCCTCTAGCCAAGCCAACCAGTCAGTGGTAGTGTGTACAGAAATAGAACTTTTAAG